ATTAGAAATGTATTCATAAAATGTTTCGCTGCGCATCCAACCAGTTTCTGTAGCCCCTATTCCCCACCCTTCCGGAACGGATTGAATTAAATAATTTGGTAATCTTTTATATGGATAGATTACCATTGGGGGAGTTAAAATTCCTGTGGCCGAAAACGTAAACATGACTGTCAAATTCGATTTGGAAGAAACATTTTCCACTTCGTAAACATTGGAGCTTCCCCTTGGGGCGAGTACTTTAGAATTTTTTGGACACAAGTAGAAATTAGTTTCATCTCCATTGAATACCCTGGATGGGTCTTGAAGAATACTAAAATGGCCTTTTTCCTTTAAATATTCCTCTATTTCATTGAACCATTTTTTCAAATCACTTGAACTAGCTTTTGTAACAAATTCAGCTGTTCGTGAGGCCAATTCTGGGTGTCTGTTAAGAAATGACTTATACCACCCGTTGCGTGGACAATTATCTATAAATGGGTTTGGCCTGGGTTTCATATCAAGGAAATGTTTCACAGAGTATAACACATCTGCCTTTCTTCTCGGAAATCCTTTTCTGTGGCATTCGAAAATCCATTCTACCAAAGTAGCTTCTTCGTCCTTGCTTAAAACTGGTGCGGGACCATGCCCGATTTTTTTTAACTTCACACTTCTTCTAAATTGTAATGTAGCGCGAGGTATTTGGAATTCTTTAGCCGCTTTTCTAATAGGCATACCATTATCAATGGCTAGAAATGGTTTAAATTTCCATTTAAGGGGACTAAAATGTGAAAAACGCGACAAGGGAGAAAAAGTGACAAGACACACTCAAATGTTAAACAAAATTTAATGATTAATCGTTACTTTCATATGTACTGGGTGGTCCAAATTGGACACTTTCTTATAGAAACACCCTTTATTTTAAGGAATACGAAAAAATGGACCTAGGTGTCTGGAGCCCAATTTTAAAGAGAAAATCACTGGAGCAAACAGAATTCAGCTATCACTAATCGTTTGGCTGCGATAGGGCGTTTCTCGAACTTAGTCGATTTCCTATTAAAATTAAAATAAATATGCATATAAACATCATGGAAATCATGAAACCAGTAGCTTTTCCCAGGTAATGTTTCCAGGGATAGTACAATGACATACTAACGCGTTTATTTCAAGGCCTCCTAAGAAAATTATGCATATAACGGTCACCATTTTAGAAAATCTTAAATAAAACTAAAACCATAACAGATAGGTATAGGGGATGTAATAATTGATCGATGAAGAATATTTTTGCATATTTGAAAGTGCAAAAAAATAAAACAATTCGAAAAAATCAATCAATCATGCTAATATTTTTTTTCGATAGATCATGAAAAACTATGTTGGTACGCAAATTTTCAGATTTAAATTATTAATGGAAGTCTAAATACTTTTAGGTAACGGTTTGCGTGAAATAGCCTGTATATCATAATAATAATAATACCTTTATTTGGTTACATATTGCACCCAAATTATCAACTCAGTATAAACAAAAATAATTACAAGTGAGTACATTGCGAGAGCAATAGTAACTAAAAGGACGAAGTTCAGCTAGTAGTTGCCTAAGCTCCTACTTCTGCTCTGCCACTTAATCCATTTTACATAAATATATATTTAAAGAACGAAAGACATTAAGCTTGACAGAATACCGATACAGAATTTAGCTACACTGAAAAAAAAGAAATGTTGTCGCAACTAACAATCAGTTACTCGAACTAATTTTTTTAGTAGCTATAGCCTCAACAAAAATATTTGCTGTAGAAAATCAACATAACTTGTTGGAAGTAAATTTTTTCCAGTAGCTAAAACAATTATTTGTGACAAATTATACAAATTAGTTAAGAAAGCATACCATTTTTGTTTGAAAAACTAAATAAGCTTGCAAAAAATTTGTCCCTGTAACAAGTAATGCTTAGTCGCAGCAGCATTGCGGTATTGTTATATAAACTAACGAGTATATGCTGGACCTCCTAATTTGTCCTTTTTTATCTTTGTTGTAGTAGCATACCATTTATGCTGGAGAAACTAATAAATTGTCTCAAATGATTAGTTGGATTAACTATGAATCCTAGTTGGCACAACAAATTTTCCGATCTGTCTGCATCGTCCGCGCGTTTTGGTGATGTCAATTAAATAAATCACTTTTTTTTTAAAATACACATTTTTTAAATCACTTACTGTTTACATAACTACACAAGAAAAACTTTTTTAGCATTAACATCCCCAAAAACAAAATATAAAACGCTTAAATTAAAACTTACCTACACTACATATAAACAGCTTTTACATATACAGCGTGTTTCGAAATTCGCGCACACGGACTGTGGGATGGTGTTATACAACGAAAACTGAATAAAAAGTTCCTCGACCACTTTCTGATCAGACCGGTACTTTTCGAGTTGTCGTTGTTCGAAAAATCTAAAAATGAAAATGCCAGAAAACAAAAGATAGTTCAAAACAATTTATGGATTAAAGTTTACACTTACCTTCAAACGCCAAAACTAGTTCGGGGAATCCCCATTGTTCCAATATATCACCTACACTTTGTTCAGCCATTGAAAAAACATTAAAACACTAAAAGTTCGTAATGTAAATAATGCAACAATATGCATGTAGCAATTCTAAATTTGTTACCACAAGGAAGTCATTTTTTTCAGTGTAGCGTGTGGTCGCAGTTATATAGCAATGAATCCAGAATAGATCGTGAACTAATGAATTAGTATTAGACGAATACATTTACATGAGAACTTCACTGTGTTTGCTGCAACATCAAACAATTTTTTCTTAATTCTCCACTAATCCTAGTAAATTATACGGCAGAATCACCTAATTCCAATTTGGTGAAGGGATAGTATAGGAGATATTTTATAAAGAGCACGGTATTGAAGATTCCATTTAAAACATTACCGGGAATCGTGCGCGGAAGCTTCACTTTGAAGTAAACAAAATGGGAAAATGGGAGTGTTTAGTAAATTTTAGCCATATCGCCTATCGAGATTATAAACTTTTAGATCAAATTGAGATTTTGAGGTAGTAAAATAGAACCTTTTACGAGCGAATAACATTCAATTCCTTGAAACATTAAACATTCTACATTTTCAATAGTACAAAGGTTAATGAGTGTTAGATAAACTTTGCTGCCCAAACCCGAAGATTTTGCATTGTATGTAGATAACGTACATTTTACCAATTTAAATGAATTTTCAAAAGCAGCGTAACGTTAAATTTATTGCACGCGATAACTTTGTTACGTAATGTTGCTTCGTTCGAGAATAGTACTGCATAATTGTTTCAATTCACACATTGCGTAACAGCTCTGTGAACGAATCGATTATACGTTAATTGCGTATCGGGTCGAGAAAATGTGTATTGCCAGACCCTTTTTGAGAGTCATTTTATCGAGTTACGACTTTTATTAAATACATATCTCTATGATGTTCACTTTAAAAAAATCAATGCAATGGAATCTGCAAAAATAACAAATTAATAAATCTGCACCTGTAAAATTAAATATTTGCACTTTATTCTCATTTAATCGATTCAAAGTAAATAATCCAGTCAATTGGTAGAAAATAGGGGAAAGTTTTGAGATTTAGTTTGTATATGTTATTTGGTTTGCTTTAATTCAATAAAATTATTATTTTTGGTTTTTATAAAATAACTGGAGAATTATACATTTTTGGTAAATATTAGTCATATATGAAATATATATTATATATATATATAAGGACGCCGGGTTTTCAATGTCGTCTACAGTTTAATAAAATTAGATTAAAACATTGTTACCTTACAGCCACAACTTTTTTGGCAAGTTGTAGTGCACTTGCACGAGACAAGCTTCAATAAATCTTGGGGAGCAGATCAGAGTAGTATCAAGACTGGTAAGTGATTTTTATCGGTCAATAGGACGAAATTGTGTTGAATTTTAACGAGCTTTATTCAATTTTGAGTATAGAGAGCGCTGACGATTCGCCCACGCAGAATCAGCGATTGAGAATCAATCTGACAGCTAAACCTTAATAATGAAAAATTTATGCTCTTTCATCATAAACAATATCTACGAAAAGTTAATAGTTTTAGAGATATTTTAGAAAATTCGAGAAAAACGTCAATTTTTTGATTTTTTTATCAAAAAAAGGAGTTTCCGGTTAAAATTTGTGGCAAAACAAATTCGTGTTCAGCACCCTAAAAAACATACAGAAACGAAATTTCAAAACTCTACCACGACTTTCCCCTATTTACCCTTTTGAACACCAGTTGACTGCATTAAAAGTACATTCTCGTCGTCTTTTACAGCGCGGTGTTAAATGCGGAGCGAACACCGGAATGCGATCACTCAACAACAACTAACGAAACAAACCTAAAACAGAATCACGGACGAACGGACGACAGCGCAAGCTTAAACGGAACGGAAGCATATAACTTAGTTTCAAAAAACGATATCTAGAGGAGGTTTCAAGCAGGCAAATATTTAAGAAGACATGACCCTATCCCAGAACTACCTTTGCTACTATAAGTTTCATCCCAGACGTAGCAATAACCATCTGTGTAGATCCATCGTAAATTTTTAAATCCCATTTGCGCCATCTGTGTATTTCTAGTGCAGATTTGTTGTGGTTAGATCAATTTTATTTCGTAGTTCTTTATTCTACCGCTAGATGTCACCTGAATGTACCTTTTTTTCCCCCTCTTTCTTGATCTTTCCTTGGTCTTTCGCGTGCACGTTCCTTGATGCTTGTTCCTTTGGAGATCTTGCTCTCGTTCATTTGTAAAATTTTATTACACCTTTGCTTCACTTGACTTATGTCTATCTGAAAAGGGATTTGTATAGGCTACGTTACGTTAGTTTTGTACGTTGTCTATTTATACCGGCAACTCGTGTCGATTCAAAATTTTGCTTTTGCACGTAACTTTATTGCTTTCCATTGAATGTTAATTACGAGTTGTCAGTATTCGAGGTACTCAAAATGACAAACGTTAGATTTATTCTCGCACTTGATATCCCGCACTGTCACTACCCACTCCTTGTTTTTTTGTTGTGTTTTATCTGATTGCAGATAATTGGCAGAAAGCGCCCTTCTGAGCTCAGAGAGGTAATATTTTATTTCGAGATAACGTTTGTGCATAAAGACTTGCGATACAGCCGAATTGTAATTTATTTATAACTCCGTTTTTCCTGCGGAAGTATTATTTCGATAATTATTTTCTGACTAGGAGTTGTGTCCTTTTTGTAAATTACTTTTGAATTTGTGGCGGTTCGTAAATTCGCGCCAACGGAAAGTGTGGCGCTACCTAGTGGACAACGCAGGAAACAAATTCTGAAATCACCGGTAAATGTAAATGAAACAAAATCCTCCCTAAACCACCGGTTTAGGGTTAGTCTGATCATTTTTTTCGTCTCTATGTCAAGTTGAACAGACTGTTTAATTATAACTCATCCTATATTCAAAAAAGCATAAATGATGAAGCAATCAGTGCCATCGTCGTCATGCCCAAACCCGATCACTTCACAGCCTAGGTAAACAAACATTATGTTAGTGTTATTGTAACTAAAGAATCTTTTTGCGCGTAATTAAGTTGTTTACTTTTATTAATTTAAGATGCATAAAAATTCCCCTTTTGTGTCAATCAATTTCGATCTTATGTAGAGCAGTAAACCTTCTTCAAAACTGAGATATAAAACGTTATGAATAATTCATCAACGATAAAACGAAATGTAAAATTGTACTTTAAAATTGAATTCGAGAAATCTAAAACATTTCGAATTTTAGCGTACCTAAGTAATCTACTCCATAAATTGCAAAAAATAATGAATTTCAAAGCGTAGAAGGTAATTAATTTTGGTTCTCAATTCCAAATAAATTAAATTATAACGCATACGAAAAACATCGATCTCCAATACTTATAAAAAGTAACTGTTATTTAATTTCCCCCATGCGGTGGTTCATGTATGAAATCTATTAAAGCTCAGGTTTTTATGACATGAAAGAATCCAGCAGGAAGGCCATTATTTGAAACGATCACGTTTACACGTAGAAACCCCAATAGGTGTTCTTTTTTTTTATTATAACTAACACTTTTATTTAAGAATAGATTTTCGCAACTTATTCTTTCGAACTATCTACGCAAACAAGCTAAAATCACTCATTCTTGTACTTAGCGTGAGAACATTTTGTGAACGGTTGGCAACCCAGAACTTATACATTAAGAAAATTTATTTGTTGTAAAAACTAATGTAGCTCGTTTTTTTTTGTGGCTACCGCTTTATCGTTCTCTCCTGTAATTGGTAGATTTTATTGCATGTAAGTTTTTTATGTTTGCTTTTGTAACAAGAAATCTTCCTAACAATTTCAAACATTACTTTGAACCTTTTGATAGAGCTTTCAATCCTTACATCTTCAAGCACACTTTACGCACCACCAATACCATTTTTATTTATAATCAATGGATTTGGCAAAAGTGTTTGCACAGGACATATTTGCTGCTTCGGAGCCTTCAAAGAAACCTACGTCACAAATGTCACGTCTCTAGTAGAACATAAAATCCTGTTTTTTCCTGTTCCCGTTCCCGGGGGAATTTCTGAAAGGAGGGGAGGAGCATGAAAGAGCGGTCAGGGCAGGACGAGGTCTGCTTAGTAGCGTCGCTAGACGTCAAAAACGCCTTCAACTCCCATTTCGAGAGAATTAATAATAGAAGCGTTGGACGGTTTCGGTGTGCCGAGGAAGATCGTGAGGCTTCTTAAAAGCTATCTATCGGACAGAAGTGTGGTGGCGGACAAACCGTCGGGGGAGGAGCATGCGTTTACTAATAGTGCGGGATTATCGAACCAGTCGAGTAAACTCGCAACATTTCCCCCCAATTTTTGTGGATTATATGGCTGTGACACCACGCATAACTTGTATTTGCCTAGTTATTTTATGTTTATGATAAAGATTGATTTACGCTACAGTTCATATTTGTTGAATTAACTTGTGTCGGCAATTATTAGATAAGTGTGTAAAATTATTGCTGTTATTTAATTTTTCTTATTTTTACATGATAATCATTTGTTAGGCTATATTTTCATGTAAAAAGGAACATATCTGTTTGAAGTAAATGGGTTTGGATAAGACAATAATGTTCAACATTTTGATAATAACTAGTGAAACACTAATAAATTTCGTAAAACAAAACATAAATAGTGAAGTCACAAAGAAAAGCGAATTTCCGAAAATATTAACTGAAAGGAATCGACACCATCACAAGAAGGAGTTGACCTCCCATCCACCGCCTACAAAGAAGATCTGAGAGCTAAAAAGGAAATGACATCAAAAAATTTATTGGAGTCAAAAAGTCTGAGGTAAATGTGAAAAAGTTTTAAAAAAGCTATTGTACAATACCTGGACCTTCCATATCTAAAAAAGAAATTGCTTGACTGTAGACGATAAATTAAGTATTAGTAAAAAACACAAACAAAAGTAAAAAAACGCGCGTGAATTCGTAACACAACAACGTGGAGTAATTACGAGATAACGTATCATAAAAAATTATCGACTATCACGGAATAATTAGAATGATTAATTTAATATGGGGTAAACTTTGTTTCTGTCCGAGTATAACAATGGAATTCGGAGCAAACGAAAATAAATAGCGGGTTTTGAAGTTTTGAAGCAATCACTTTTGTCTAGAATAGATATCAGTTTCAGGGGATGATTGATTGGAGTTTAACTGCACTATGACCGCCGATGATGTAAAAATGTTTGAAGATCGTCACGTCGGAGAAGCATTTGATTCGTCGATAATACCTCGGCAGGCTATATGTTTGCTTCACACGAACAAGGCCGTCGAAACGTTTAACCGCGAACGTCTACGGATTTACACGGACGACGTGCATCTGTCCGAAGCGATCGATTCAATGAAATCGGGCGTTAACGTGACGGATAAGTTCAAAAGACAAATTCTCAATGCGGTCGCGAGATTACCGCCGGGACAATGCTTCGGATTGGCGCGATCGGTTCCTCTGCACGTCGGAGCCAGATACATGGTAACGCTTAACGTATTGAAAATTCTTATCCTACATTGGAATGCTTTTTCCCTACACTTACTATTTTTTGTAGACCACTTTTCTAAAAGCGCCATGTTTGGTTTGATCTATGAAGTTTTGCTCCGAATTTGGCACATTAAAAAAAATATTATTTAAGAAATTCCCAAGAACCATATCGAGTACAATTCAGTACGATAACCCAAATCTTGTGTTCGCAAAATGACAAATTACAATTCCACAACGAGTTTCATAACTTGTCCGTAAACAGATTGTAGTTCTCATGACACAGTTTGTTAGTGAAAATAGCACATAACTTTCGGTTTAGTTATTCCCTGAATATTAATGGCAAATAGTAAGGAAGTAAGTAGAGATGGTATTTGGCAAACACGTAACAAGAGGATCAAATTTTTCTAAATTGTATGTCGCTGTAGACTGTCAAATAAATTATAATGATGATTTATTATGCAAATACCTCTGGGTAACATACTCTTTAGCGGTGTAATGACGAGGAAACAATCTGGCGTTGTAGTGTTCCTAAATATGTTTTAATGCCCAATTTTTTTACTTAAAAATAACCTCTGGAAGTTTGTGAGATGTGCCAGAAAATTAATTAGCGCTTCATGCATGTCTGAGCATTCATATTTCAGAGTATGTATTCAAGGTCTATATAAATTTTAATGAATCTTAGTATTAAAGGGGCGTTTCGTTAATATCCCTCGAATTATTCCACACGTTTGCTAATTAAAAAGTAAACCTAACCGGATAATTGTAATTTGACATTTCTATTTAATTACAAACATCTTGCTGCACACGTGGTATGTTAGGTTAGTCAAGGATTATAACTTAATGCACGTTTCAATTGCGATCAAATTTTGCACGCGAATTGTGCTCGTTTGTGTGCCCATTCCTACATCTTGTGCGGAACTTAAATTTTTAATTTTGTGTTACAACTAAGTATGAAGGTTTCCTACTGCGACCATAGTATGCATGCATTTTA